CAAAAACTACTTACGAAGGCTATCCCCCTAAGAAAACATACCAATTATATCATCATAGTTTACTTCAAACAAATAACTCCATGACAAAAGTTTTCGCGAATAGTATAGTATGTCACTCCAGCTCACCTGAATTTGGCAACCGTATGTCTCACGAATGTCCTTGATATTGGCGCCAGATTTCCCAATAACCATTCCAGCTGATGTGTTTGGCATGACAATTTTCACCTGAAAATACTTCTGCCGTTTTGTAAGCAAGAATTTTTACCTAGTTACAAATTGGAAACAACTGAGAAATAGTTCACAAACCTCATTACCACGGCTGACTCCCTTGTGGTCAAATGCATCCGAACTGGTTGAGCCTTCGCATTTCTCACGAATTTTTTGTAGTATTACATCAATAACACCGATAACGTTTTGTACGCGACCTTTTACGAGGCAAATACGCTCGCTTGTACCTTTAAAATTGCAATCACACTTTGTATTTGTCGTTTTTATTGAACGCTTAGATACAAACCAGGATAAGTTTCTGAGCTCTTGCTCATTTGTACACGGCATTGATGATCATTCTTCAAATTCCTCATAGCCTCTCCTCCTTTGCCAATGATTGCTCCGACAGCAGCCGAAGGTATCAAGATTTTCACCGCTAGATTATCTAAATCAGACATTATTGTATGAATTTATCTATCATTAACAGTATTTAGCTAAAACTCACTGTCGTCTCCGTCGACATGAGCTCTCTTACTAGCTGGACCATCATATGAGTCTTGGGCTCTCTTGGTTCCAGCAGAATGGATGACAGAAAGCGGGTTCCCCTCATCCTTATGGTCATCGTGGTCTGCCATTATTTATTGAATATTGACCTGAAAACACAAAAAAACAACAATACCCATCACACACAAAATATAATAAACAACAAGGGAGTTGACCACGCGCATGGAGAGAAACGAGTAGCCATAAGCGCAGTCTCCACAATTCACGACAAGATCGATAGCGTGTATCAACCGCGTCGCTGCCGTGCGCGACGCGAAGGCTACTGTAATGGCGCGATGTTCAAATTGGTTATTTCGGTCAGAGCGCGTCGGCGGGATGAGGGGGAAAATTCCTAGGAAGGTAGTCGCATAAAGGTTTGTGGGAGAT